AGCCCTTGGAGCCTTCCCAAAGCCAGCACAGGGCCCCTGCTTGGCTCACATAAACACACTTACAGGGCCTTGAAGACTCAGAGATGGATGTGGAGGTAGAAAGATGGAGGCTTTTCTGGACTGTATCCTCTTCATCCTCTCACCTTTATCCTCCCCCAAGTGTGAAGACCACATCTTGGTCTTTGCCTCCAACTATCTGCTCATCTTTCTCTCTGACTGCCTCTCTGTTCTGGTCCCAGTTCTACCCCTTACTCTAGGAGACTTGGAGGGGCAAGGGAGGGGCCAGGGCAAGAGGGAGCAAGAGATCAAGAGGGAGGTGTGGGAGGGCACAAGGTCTGGGCAAACTGTTTTCGGGGTGATGAGAATGACAGACAATGGGAAAAATGAGCCCCTAGGAATGAGCCCCAGAAACCTCCAGTTCTTCCCTTGGTTGCTAGTATTCTCCCTCCAGACCCAGCTTCCCTCTGGAGAGAAGGGAGCTGTCAGAAGCACAAAAGAAGATGCCCAAGATATAGAAGTAAGAAGTAGAGCTGCAGAAACAGGGCTGCCGGGAACAATCAGCATCCACGGGGCCTGCCGGCATTGGCAGCAGTTGGAGTCCTGCAAAGTGCTTTGGGCAGCTTGTGAGGTGGGGGCCCAGAGACTAGCCCTGCATCCTCCACCCAGCTGGCTGGCCAGGTCTGGCGGCTGGAAAAGAAGGCAACTCAAGGGCCGGAGAGGGTCTCCTTTGTCCCTCTTGAGCCTCGGAGTGGCTGTGGTGAGGGGCAGCAGCTCCCTGGACTCCCTGGGCCTGGCCTTCTCTGCTTGGATGTGTCGTGTTTATCATGCCTGCCTAAAGATCATTAAAGCCTTTGAGGGTGGGGGGCTGACTGACAAGGAGAGTGGATTAATATTAGAACACCCTGTCACAACTGGTGAAAAGGCGGGATTGATTTTATAGGGAGTTTAGTCAGAGTTGCGTGTAAAACCCCTGGGGTTGCTCTGGAGTGTATCCATCTCCTCCATTAGGAAGGCCCCGCGGGAATATTCAGCTGCAGTGTTTATTACGACCAAAGCTGCATATCATAGATATAGTATTAGCTGCCTTTACTCAGCTTCCTTTCTCTCCATTGCCCAGGCTCCTAGTGACTCAGTCCCGAGATCCCAAGCAGCTGGCCTGGTCAAAGTAGGCAGTACGGTTTCGGACCAGAAAGTCACGTGAGAGCGAAAGTCTGTGCGTTTGTGCGCGTGCGCTTGCTTGCAGCTGGGGACAGAGGTAGGGGTATCTCTAGAGCGCCCCCTTATGGTCGACAGTGGTGAGACCTCATGGTGGACAGTGGTTAGAATCCCATGCAGCTCAGCTCCTAGAATTTTTTTTTTTTTAACTGAAACTGGAGGCTGAGGTTTGAGCCAAGAAAATGAGGTTTCTTCTCCTTTGGCAAAACGTGAATTGGAGCTTAGAAAACTTGCGTCTCAGACTGTTTGCCTAGAAAGTCACTCAGTGCTCCTTTGAGAAGAAATACCAGAGTGATGGTTGAGGACTGAGCTCTGGGCTGGGAAGTTAGCTGTGTGACCTTGAACAAGTCTGTTAGCTTCTTTGGGATTAGTTTCTTCACTGGTTATATGGGGATAATGAAAATGGTACACACCTCACAGAGCTGTTCTAAGAATTAAATGATTATTACAAGCAAAGTTCCTGGTACATAAGAAGAGCTCAATGCTAGTTAATGCTATGGTATCATCGGCTGACAATTCCAATATATTCTAAATGGGATTCAATTTGCAAACATTTTGTTCAGACAAAGATTTTCTGGAACACCTTTATTGCAGAAAGCATGGCTACTAATGGAAGCAGAACCACGGCAGGGACATGTTCACCAGTTCTTTTTCCAACTGGGTGCTCGTGGAGGATGGGGAGGAAGTCCAGAACCAAGTGGGACAGCTCTGGGGCCAGCTGTGTCTCTATGCATCCCACCCCCCCTCCTGGGGGAGGGGACCAGACCCTTGGCCCACTGTGTCTGAGGAAGGGTGGAACAGGGTCTGGCCAGTCCAGCTCAGGGGGTTGTGGGTCTCCATTAGGCAGGAGAGCAGCAGAGAGAAGGCTGGGTGTATGTCCTGGTCTCAGGTAAAAGAGTCTGAGTCAGAGGACCTCATGACTCATTTTGTTGAGTTTCCACAGCTCTTTGTGTTAATGTCCATCACAAGATCCAGCAGATGGTTCCATTGTGTTTTTCCATAGAATGTAGTGTTTAAGACTTGATACCTCTGGAGCCAGATTACCTAGGTTCTGATTCCTGATTGACGCTTACTTCTCTCTCACGTGGGAAAGTTATTCTGTATGTCCAGTTTCCTAGTCTTTCAAATGGGTATAATAGAGCTAGCTGCAAGGGTTACAATGAAGATTAAATGAGATAATACATACAAAGCATTTAAATCACTACCTGGCAGTAATTAACCTACTGGGTTGGTTACCATCATAGTGACCCAATCCTTCAGGCTCCTCTGACAGATTGAGCTCCCTCAAGGGTAGGGACCTAAATTAATGGGTTTTCTTGTTCACAACCTGGCCCAGCATATGGCACATAGTGAGCACTTGGTAGATGTCTATTGAACTGTTGGACCAGGTAGGATAAAACCTGCTCACATCAGGGGTGTCCTGAAACTGCCAGGGAGCAGCAAAGCCAAAGTTGAAAGATAAAACCAGGTCAAGGTCAGAAGCCATGTGGGGTATTTCCAGGATTAACAGAGCTGAGATTGAGGGTGGAGTCAATGGCAGGATTTCCTCATCTGCTGGGAGCTCAGTGGTTTAATCAGTCCAAAGGGCAAATGTGACAAAAGGGTGGCAGAGGACCAAAACCTGGGAGGTGCTCCTGGGCAGCCCAGCAGAAGTGTTTGGATATCCCTCTTATTATGGTGGGAGGCCAGTATGGGGCATGCTATGCAGGTAGAATCTGAGAATGTAGATTCCCATGGGCTTGTACCTACCTGGATACCCCAAACCTAGCAAGAGAGGACTGAAGTTCTTGGAGGAAGGAAAACCACAAGGTGAAGAATTTATGCTATATTGCAGGACGCAGAAATCCAAGCTCTCAGGATATTATAAAACAAAACCCCCCAAAACACCCCCCTACTTGTGAGTCTTGCCAAATAATAAATACTATAAAATTATTTTGTAAAATATTTAAATAATAATCAGAATTTCAAAGCAGGAGTTAAAACATCCCAAATCCCACCTCGAATAGATGATCATTATTAACATTTTGGTCAACACCTGTTGGCAGATGGAGGTGTTCCTAATCTGCATCAGTGTCCCTTCCCACTGTCCCAAATGAGCATATATTCAGAGGAAAAAAAAAAATCTGATGGTTTGTTAGTAAATGCTGGTGCAAAAGAAGAACTCAAACTTGTTCCCCCTCCCCCACCCCATTCTCACCAGATTGCAACCTTTAAGCCCCTCCTATCTGAAGTCCACAATGCTTCAGGCATTTTGTCCTGTAAGATACATACAGATTTGTGCATGTGACTTTACATAAATGGGCTCAGACTTTGCCTGCTGTTCTGTTATCTGATTTTTTTAACTATTCTGTTATTAGTTTAGTTAGCTTTTTCATCATGTGACCAATAGACCCGACAAGAATAATGCAGAGGATGAAATTTTCAGTTTAGCTCTTGATTTCAAAGGTTCAGTCCATGATTAACTGACACCCTACTCTGGGCTTGAGGTGAGGAGGAACTTCATGGAGGAAGAGCATAGAAGAGGAAAGCAGTTTAGGACATGGCAAGCAGGAAGAAGGGGGCGGGGAAAACATGCTTTACCAGGGACAAATATAAACCCCAAAGGCACCCCCATCCCTTGTGAACCTACCTCCTCCTACCACACCCTCCAGCCCAGTAACCTACAGTTACTGCCCAGTCAATCCATATCAGGGGATCAATTTACCGATTAAGTTATACCTTTCATAATCCAATCATCATACCTCTGAAAATTCTTACATTCTCTCACATATGAACTTTTAAGGGACACCTCATATCTAAACACAACACCTATTAATTGACATTTAGGCTATTACTAAAATTTTGCTGTTATAAATATAAATAATGCTTCAACATTCTTGTACTTATATATTTTTCTTCTTAGGCAATTATTCCCATAGGGTGAGTTTTTCCAAATAAAATCTTTAAGTGAACAATCAGACATACATTATGTTTTAATATATAAAATTGCTTTCCAGATAGATAGGTTCTAACCCTCCAGTTATGTAAAAGATCGTCCATTTCTTCATCAGGTATTAAGAAAAAAAATCTATGTTAACCTGATATGTAAAAATAATATCTCATTCCTTGTCTTTGGTTGTTATTGAGGCTGAATGTTTTAAACGTTAATTGACCATTTGTATTCCTTTGTGATTTGCTTGAATATCAAAAACCATGAGAAAAAATATAAATAATAAAATGCCATTTTTTAGGAGAATATTGGTATAAGAAAATACTTAGAATGCATTTCAAAATGACTAAAATACATACTGAAGAATATTATTATAGTATATTCTTTTTAAAAGGTATATAGATAGGCAAAGACTTAAGACTTAAAATAACACATTCAGAAAACAATAATAGACCCATAACTATGTACAACTAAAATAATGATTAACAAAACAACAACAACAACCCCCGCAGGTTAATAGAGATTGTTTCTGGATTGTTCAGGAAACAGGTGTTTTTCGAAAGGTTTCCAAGCTTTCTGGGATTAGACTGACGACTTTCAGAATTTAGAAACCCCAAGATACATTAATAAAGCTACAGAAAAATCTTTCATGAAACTTACGCCAAACTGCTGCCCCTTACCTGTAAATAGTCATAAAATAATAGACTTTTCAAACTAAAAGGAACTTTATCATTTGTTCCCTTTTCCCCATTTAAAAAAACTAGTGAACTGCAGCCCAGAGAGATTGCATGACCCAGCCATGATCTGCCAGCCAGTGGGAGGAAGTGAGGTAACACCCCACAGGACACTAACAGAGGAGGGGCATGTGGCCCCCAGTCCTGCCTCTCTGCCCTCTACCAAGGGGTCCTGCCTCTCTGAAGACCGGTCTAAGCCGGTCAACTGATCAGGATGGATTTGCTTGGACTTTAGATGTGATCCCAGAATGGCTGGTAGAATGGGCTGTAGAAATCAGAAAACTGGAGTCCTTAAAGACCAGGAGAGTGAGTGTCGTGTCGTGTCAAAGGTAGGAATAAAGCCTGCCCGAGGTCTGAGGAATGACCCGGTGATTTCTGAAGTCCTGGGCTCTCAGATGTTGGAAGAGCTTGATGAACACTGGATGGCTGGCCCAGCTCCTCCGGGTCAGCTGCCTGTCCCTTGCTCCTAGTGCCCTGAGAGCAAACTCAGAGTAGAGCTCTAGAGGTGGCTCCAGCCCACCCCAGGAGCTCCAGCTCAGCACCTGCCCAGTGACTCTGGACCCTCCCAACTCCTTCCACCCTCCCTCAGAGCCTGCAGAACCAGGGTCTTGTCTGCAATTTGGTGTGATTTTTTTTTTCTTTTCCCTTTCTTCCAGAAGCCTGTCTGGGATTCTGCTCCACGTGGAGGTTGGAAAGAGCAGCGCGGCTGCTCTGGAAATCTTGTTTCCCCTGCCACATGACATCAGTGGGTTATATTGCAACTTTCCACATGGCTGCCCAGACACAGACAGTTGTGTTCATGAAAATCCTCCTGATACTGGCTTGGAGCCTCCCTGGCACTCGAGGCTCCTTCTGAGGCTGTGCTGTGTTCTGCAGAGGAACAGTTGACAGAGGGCTGGTGGAAGGTGAATGGCGGAGGGGCTTGCTCTCCTCATTCTGATCCAGTGCGTCTGCCCACACCCTGTTACCTCCAGGGGGCTTCGGGTGCGCAGGATCAGAATTTTCCAACAATAGGAAACGTGGGGTCAGAATGCTGGTCAGGTTATTTCTGCCTCTGATCTACGTATAGCTTTGGATAAGCCATTTTATCCTCCCAGTTCCCCAAACTAGGAAACTGATCCCTGTCTCTCCCCATCAAAGACGAGTCTAGGGACACGGTGACAAGCTATAAAGGAACACATTGGGGAGAGAGGATCAGTAAACTTAAAAGACATTTCATCTCTCTGAGCTTTAGTTTTCCTTTCTATAAAATGAGGGACAATGTTAGTTGCTTTCTACAGCCTCTCCAGATGTAATAAATAAGTAAATAAATGAAGCCATAGCTGTGTGACTTTTGATTCCTTAGCCTCTAACATGAAATGATCCTTTGGTTAATAATATTCTGGGATCAAAATGTCCTAGGAAATCTTGACTACAAGTCAAAGCTTAGAAGGGTTAATTGACAGTAAATTGTGCTATGCTGCCATTTTACACGGGGCCCCTTGGACGCCAGCCTCTCCTGATGCTCCCTAAAGGGCTCTGATGTTAGGAGAGGGATGTCTGGCCATTCCTAGCTTCAGACGCCTGCTGACCCCTCTTTCTGAGCTACTGGTGCTAGAGTTACCTTTGACCTTGGCCATGAAGCATTCTCTCTAGAGTGTAAGCACTATGTGACAAGAACCGTGCCTTGGGGTCTTTGTAGCCCCCTACTGTCATGCTTGGAGATATCATTCATTCATTCCTAAGTCTTAGATGCATAAAAGACATGGTCCAACGGAAAGTAACCATTCAGTATACTTCCTGAGCCTGTCCCTGCAGTTGCCCCCTGTCTCCCACTTTGGATTATAACCAAAGGTGAGCAGCAGCTTGTGTGGATTATTTTCTTACTGTGCGCCAGCTCCTGCTCTGAGATCTCTGCATGTGTAATTCTCACCGTGACCATGAGAGGAGTGCACTCTCATTACCCTGCACTTTATTTGCTAAGGAAACTGAGGCACAGGGAGGTGAGTTCCTTGTCCGGGGTCACAGAATTAAGTGGTGGAATTTAACTTCAGATCTGGAAAATCTGACTTCAGAGTTTGGCTCTCCACCGCTGCCCTAAACTGTCTGCTGACACAAAGGTAAAGAGAAATGTGAGACAGGAGGATCCGTTTTCCAACAACCTCTGCCAACAGATGTGACTAGGGACCTCCCCTCTGGCAGCAGCTGGTGTGGACTAGTCCACTGGGTGAGGGTGCCAGAGCGTCTCCACTGCTCCATTTTTCTTTGTCTATCCTAGAGAACAAGATGCAGGCACAGGACTCTTACCCTCTACCAGAAGGACAATAAGCCCTGCACTTTTTATTTCTTCACCACAGGGTGCCCATCCCGCTACCTTTGGGGACCTACTTCTCAAGAGTCCTGTGAAGGGAGGAAGGCACTACTGGGCAAGGTTGAAAGAATTCCCAGGGCCCAGCGGCCACTGGAAGCCCCACTCAAGAGAGCTGAGGCCCTGGAGCCTGGTGGAGACCCAGACCAGTGAAAGAGTCCCCACATTTCCACCCTCCCCCGCCCTCTCTGCCTGCCAGCCCAGCCTGCAGCCTGCAGTGTGTGCAGTGACAGTCTTCCCCCGGTGATTTAGAAGAGGCTGTGCAGAGCGGTCATCTCTTCCTAATGGTCCCAAGTCATAATTCTCAGCAACCACCCTCCTCTCCTCACTCCCAGCCCCTCCCTGCGGCTACCCCTCTGAGGCATTGAGGGCAGATTTAAGATCAAAATCAAATCAGATTCACCAAACAAGGTGTCAGGCCAAGCAGGAGGGGCTGGGGGCTCCGAGTTATAGCCTGGAAGGCTTTGAGACTCCTTGGAGACTATTAAGTGAGTATATTTTATGGCCAGACACAATGCTGAGTGAACCGTCTATAAACCAATTACAGGAAAACTCCCCACACATCTTGTGGAACACCCGTGGGTAGCAGGCTAGGAGGCATTCCTGAAGGCCCCCCTGCTGGTGGCAATCTGGCCCCCTCTTACACCCTGGAGACTCTGGGTGGGGTGATTTCCCAGGAAGGGTCAGGACTGTACTCTGCATTTAGAAGCACCTCATTCTCCGGATGCATAGTAACCATTAAAAAAAAAAACAACAAACTCCTGAGGACAGAAAGTGTCTTTGGGAACAGACCTGGAACTGGTGGTCTGTCTAGATTCCAAGGTCAGTGATTTTCCTGGATACCGGTGCTCCCAACCTCTCTTGGAAGAAAGGCAGGAAGTGGATTTCCCCACAGATCCTTCCTGCCACACAACTCTGAGAATCATTTTCGGGAATCTCACAGGCCTCAGACCCAGCTGTGGCCATCGATGCTGGCTAGGGGAGGTCATAATCCCCTCCCGCATCTTCCCCAGATATCTTCCCACAGATCCTGGACCTTTAGACCTGAAGAGCTTCCATCTACTTGTGAGAATGCCATCATCTGATGACAGTGTCTGCACTGACTCTAATTCATCTTCAGACCATTTAATGGGGACTTGGCACTTGGAAAATATTCATTGAATTGAGTAGATGAACACATCTAGACTATTGCCACCCATGCTTCATGCACACAGTAGGAAATTGAAGCCACAGAAGTAAAGTCACTTGTCCATGGCCACATGGTAAGAGTGGCACAGACGTGACTAGGGCCCAGGTCTCTGTCTCTATGCACTGTGCCCTTCCCTCTACCCTAGGCAGGGCTCCTGGGCCTGATCTAGTGATCTAGAATGAATTCTCCATTCCCTTATGTAATAGTTGGAAAGCTGAAGACTCCCAAGTTTTATATATATATATATATTCAAGACTTGGTCTCCAGGGAGCTACTATGGGAGGAGCTGTGATCCATTAGGAGGCAAGGTCTCATGGCAAGTTCCTAAGTCATTAGGGGTTTACCCTCAAAGGTGATGTAGGACCCCAAACCCTTTCTTTTTCTCTCTTTTGCTTCCTGGCCATGAGGTGAATAGTTTGTTCCACTACACAGTCCCAGTCATTGCCATCCAGCATGCCCACCAGAGGACCAGAGCAATGGTCCACCATATTTTGCACTAGAACCTCCAAAACTGTGAGTCAAAATAAACCTTTTCTCTTTACTAGTTAATGATCTCAGGTATTTCATTATAAGATGGAAAGCTGCCTGATATCTTAGGAATATCCAGGGAATATCTGCCTAATATCCAGGAAAGCCCAGTTGTATTGTCCCTCCTACCTGCTGAGGTCCCACTTCTGAATGGGTGGGTTTTAAAGGAGGATGGAACTTTCTGGGGTGAAGCCCATGGGAGGGCCAATGGTCCCTTCTCCCCTTTATGGCCCCAAGCCCTCAAACACCATCCCCCTCCTGCTCATCTAGTCCTCCTGGAAAGTCAGCTCTGAGCCTGTGCTGGACACCTCTGAGGACCTGGGAGATGCTCAGGGGAAGGAAAACCCAAGGGACCCAGCTGCTTCCCTGTCAGGTTCAGCTACCCTGAGAGCTGATGGCTTGACAAGTGGCATTAGCATAAAAACCTCCACAGTGGCAGCTACCGGCTCTGTGCCAGAGCCCTGGGTGTCTGTGCTTGGTGCCATTCACTGTCACTAGGGGCAGGCACCTGCCGGCCAGAGGTACATGGCTGTCTCTCATCCAGCTGCCCAGACTCTGGGCATTCCAGGGGAACGTTTCTCACCAACCCTGCAGCCCTGTCTCTGTTCCCAGCACTTCTGGAGGGCCCCAGATTGCCCCAGTCCCCTCCTTTTCTGAGTAAAAGGTTCTCTCCTTGTCTCCCACACTTCTCTTTTCTACCCTTTCCCTCTGAGCTGGGATGCCCTGACTCCACCCTTAACTTCTTCCTATCCTGTTCAAGAAAGGGAAGCTCTCGAAGTGCTGCTGGGAATGGGCCTCACTCTTGTTCATGGCAAATGGACTGACTCTCTTGGATTTGGTGCCTAATACCCGCTCAGGCCATGAGTCTTTTCCCATGGTTGAGAATACATGAGGCCTTAACAGTGGACCTTCCTTGTTAAAACAAATGGCAGGACCTCCCAGGTGTAATGAACAGGAGACCTGGAGGAGGGTGCAACCAGAGCAGGCAGGGAGAGGGCCCTTTCCCTGGAACCCCTACCTCCAGCACCATGGCAAGGTCTTTCTGCCCCTTCTCCAACCTTTGTCATTTGAGAGACAGATAAGGGCCTGGATTTTCAGAGCACAGATTTTATATAAACAAAGCAAAATCAGAAGAAGACAAAAGAGTAGCAATTACAATAAGCAAACAGCTCAGGAGCCTGAACTCCTCTGGTCATCAAGGGCTGTCTAACTGGAGCATGGACACACATGCAGCATGATCCTCCTCCTCCTCCTCCTCCTCCTCCTCTCCCTCCTCCTGTTTCTCCTTCTCCTCCTCCTCCTCTTCCTCCTCCTTCATATGCCTCAGTCCACTGAACCTCTCTAGTTCACACCTTGGGAATCTCTGGTCCTGCTATTCTTTGCCTGAATCCGACTGTGCCTGCTCAGAGATGCCTTTCAGAACTCACAACTGGGGGGCCCTGGCATCCCTCTTACTGCCGTGACACCTCAATCCTGTTTGTCATATCGACTCCCAAATTATAAAATCCTACATTTTTGTGCAAATACCTTTCATGATTTAATACACATATCAATACCTGAGTCCTGTTTTCTTTTTTAGTTCTTTTTTTGGAACCAAAGTGATTTATATACAGAATTTAAAACTTAAATGTCATAGGTTCTACACAAAATCCATCAGACCCTGATCACATCTCTTTTCACCCTCCAAGAGTCAGCCACTTCCAACTCTTGAATATTTCTCCTGGCCATTAGGTCACTTCACTTAAATACCATGCTTATATTTCTATTTTTTTCTCTCTATATTTTCTCATAAAAATTTCAAATACATAGAAAAGTTGAAAGAATTTGCAGTGAATACCCATAAATCTGCTAACTAAATTCTACAATTAATATTTTGCTATATGTATTCAATCACTTCTTTCTACTTTCCCATCATCCTATTTATTCAACCATCCATCCACCTATCCATCTTATTTTTTTGTTGTATTTCAGAGTAAGTTGTAAATACGAATACATTTCATCTCTAAATGTTTCACCATGCACATCACTGAAGTTCATTATTTGCTTGTGGTTCCTTTTTTCTCCCCTTTTAAGGCAAATTTTACACAAGGTAGAATGTGTAGGTTTTCAGTGTGCCAACTGATGAGTTCAGAGAAATGCATACAACTTAACTGTTACCCAGGGGGGTTTCCTTACATACCTCTCTGGAATTACTGCATACTGGACATACCACTGTCCATTCATATTCTCTCTCTTTCTCTCTCCCAGCTCTATTTTGTGATGG